TCTGGTTCACTGACTTGACTGCCATTTCACGCTTAGTAGATCAGTCATCACAAGTGGCGAGGCAAGTCCAGTGTGGACCAGTAATCAGCGATGCGCGAAAAATCGATTCATTGGCTACATTGACAGAGCAGGCAGATGAGTGATCATGGCAGCGCTGGTGGGGCAGGCTCCTACACATCGGCTCTCTAAACCTCGTCTGATTTATTCGACGCCAAACGGTTCTAGAACATTCTGTCTCCTGCGTGTTCTGACTGCGGGTGGCTGTCCTTGGCGCGAGCTCCCTCCTGTGAACAAATTTCAAATGTTCGCACGTCCATTGATTGGGCAGTGCGTGTGAGCAAAGGTATCATATCTGCCGGATGATGGGGCGCATGCTGATTGGTTAGCAGCCGGCCTGGTTCGCTGCCTCGGGTGCTGTCGCGTTTTGCTCACACCTTGGACCATGACTCTATTCCGTTTCTGTTCTCCATAATAGCACCCACTTCAGAAAACAGGATTATTTACCATAGGGGCATCACAGGTACTAGCTAAAAGCCGGTCTCGCAAGGCATCCCTACTAAAAATACTAATATGTGTATGGGTAGTAATAATTACTCCGGGGCCCAAGGGGACGAGTATGTCCCTCAACCCGGTCATGGAGCATAGGTATTATTAACGAAATTATTCCCGAATGAACGAAAAGGTTCGCGTTCCAGGTCGAGCACCGGATCAATTAGCAACCAAAAAGAGGCGAATTATAGTGGTCATAGGCCAATCAACTGTCAGAAGTCATCAGCTTGTCAAGGGGTTAGAAACAGCAATCAAGAGGGATGGTGGAGGAAATTATAGTGATTTACGCTAAGTAGCTGTCAATGGAGTCGGGGGTCTTGTCTCCACGGTAGAGGGTCCTGGTAACCCTGCCTCCTCTTTCGACCGGTTCGTCGTGGGGTCCTCTTCGCTTGCCATTCTTGCGTTCGGTTTGACCTTGTTCTGTCCCTTTTCCACATAATGGCGCAAGACTTTGTTGGCCGTGCGCAGGTCCAGATGCCCACTGACAGAGTTGCCGTCTGAGTTACATGCCTCAAGCGTCAGCCTTTCGGCCTTTGAGGTTCTTCGGCTTACGATGGTTGCTCCTTGAGGATCGAAGTCGTAGCCAGTCTCTGTGATGTGTGCTGCAAGTTGCGAGTTTGCGTCTAGTCCCCAAGCCGCTAGTTTGTGTTCGTATAGGCGGATCTGCTACTTTCGGTCTGTTTCTCCGACGTAATTAGAGTTTCCATCGTTGCAACGTATATTGTAGGCAACTGCGTGGGTTTCAGTAGGAGGCAGTATGTATTTAGGTTACATCACCTGGCGACATATTTTTGCCTGAGTTCGATAGGCTATGCCTACTCCAGCGAGTTGTAACAGTCGTGAGACTGCCTCGGAGACCACTTTTATGTAGGGAATGGGCCTCTAGACTTCGGGTTGCTGCTTCATTGGCCGTCGTCTGTTCACTCGGCGCTTGCTTTGATTGATAAATGAGTTCAATTATCCATTAGCTCGGAAGAGTTCCTGAAGGTATTGTTGCTCAGCCCCTTTGTCAGCTGATGTGCTGTAATGTGTTTCAACTCTTTGGAAAAGAGTACGAAAGCACCTACTTTTATGGGACATGGGGTGATTGCTGTTGATATTTATTACTTGAGTTGTGTTGGTGACTTTTCTGTAGTTTGCAGTAATCCAGTTGAACACCGGCGCACAAGGACATCAAGGAAGGGTAGTTGGTTATTTCTTTCAGTCTCCATCTTGAATTGGATATTTGGAACAACCGAGTTCTGTACCTCTTTGAGGTGCTCGATGTCAGATGTTTTGACAATGACGAAAGTGTCATCGACATAACGAACCCAAAACTTTGGTTGATACTTAGTGAAGACCAAGTTTTCTATCCGTTGGAGTATCACTTCAGCAATCAGGCATGATAGGGGGGAGCCCATGAGAGCGCCTTTTATTTGTTCATACATTTTTCCACCAAATGTGAATTAGGTTTTGAGGCAATGTCGTAGAAATTCGAGCAAATTTTCAGACTTCAGGGGTTTTTCACTCTCGTCGTAGCTTTCGGTTACAAGTAGACTCACAACATCAATCGCTAGTTGCTATGGGATGGAGGTGATGGACAAAATTATAATTGATAGTCCCCGTCTTTACCATAGAATTCACATTGCTCTTGTCAGTACCCGTGGAGGCACAGTCTTAGTCAAAGTATCGGTAACTTTGAACGTACGGAGGGCTTATTTACGAGCCGTAGTTGTTGAACACCTCCAGTTGCTGATGATACATAGAGCAACGTGTTTTTCTCCCAACACCTGCTCCAGTCTCTCGTCAAAGAGAGAACGAGAATATAAAGTAAACCATTGTAAGAATAAACAGAATGCGTTGTACAACAGACCACGTAAATCAAGATCGTGAAATATGTTCCCGAATTAAATGGAGTTACATGCGTGGTGACGGTGTAACATGCGTAAGGCTCTCCTTTAGTTATCATAACATGTCTACTTATTTGATTAAGGTAAGCTTGTTATATAAGGTGTACCTTCAGGCTGGGCTTCATAAAATGCTCAAGAGGTAGTTTAGGATCAAGGTTATGTTTAAGGTAAGGGACATATTTTTAGGGTTGTGATTGAGTGTTACCCAATTCAATTTTTTTTACCAATAACCTTGTGTTTTCTGTTTGCGGTCCGTTTACATGGCCTTAATTTGCATAGTTCATACTGCGCGTCCGTTCCAGCGCCTCATTTCACTAATAAAATGAAAGTATGCTAGAAACGTGCGTTCTATCCATGGCTTCTAGCGACTCCGAGAATTTTCTTGTCCACCTGCTCTACTGTTAAACCTACACTAGTTCCTTTACTCTATTGTCAGTGTACTTACATATTAGATTCTTGCCAAATATTCATATGGATATTGTTGAAGTTGTGGTGTCGACAAAACGAAGGTTTCCCTAGTCAAAAGTTAGGGAAGAAAGAGTAGGTTAGGACTGTGAGAGAAAATGAGCTATACAAAGGCTCTGCCAAGCGGTAGAAACCAAATGAATCTTCAGACAAGTTGTGACTCCGTGGCGTGTCCTTTGCCGCCTGCAGTCAATGAAATGAAAGGGCGCACATCGATTGGCTTCGCTAAGACTTCAGACAGTTAAACCCATGCAAGATATTTACAGAGTCCACAGCTTCGCAAAGTTAGTGTCTTACTGCTCTACCATATTAACAACAGCTTTAATGATCTCCCTCCTGAAGTCTGCTTAACTTATCTTTCTGGATTTCCTGTGTCTTGTAGTATCAAGAATTTGGAAATAAAGCAGAGCCTTTTCGCACGAATACGAAGATTCTGCCATCCGAGC